CAAGTTAACAAGGCTTGCTGTAAGTCCTAATAAACAAAAAAGGTTACTATGGATTAATATTTTTAAAGGTTTCATTAATGACCTAAAAAGCTTTGAAAGCCCTCGTCAACAAGTAAGGTTGCTATGGAAAGCCTAATAAACAAGGAGGGTTACTATGGAATCTCTAGTCAATAAGAAAGTTCCCTATAGCCATATGGGCCATAGAAACATCAACCTATTGTGTGTGTTAAGCCGAAGAGTGGATATACCATCTATAAAAATTTAAAAGGCAGGTCAATAAGGAAGGTTGCTATGGGGGGGGGGTGTCAACAAGGAAGGTTGCTATGTCATTTGACGTCATATTTACACAAGTAACCTTACCACGATGAATAATGTCAAGGTTATCAAATGAAGACATTACCGAGATTTACAACTATAGCATGTCCTGTAATTGACCTGTCCCAACCAACCTGGTAGGACTTTTTGAAAAAAATGTGGAAACGATTTGCTACGCCTTCGCTTGACTAAAATATGCGATGTACACTATGTACCGTCCATAATTTTAATTTTTAAGTCCTGCGGTGCACAACAATTGTTGTTCTGCACATACGGTACCATCTATATAACACTCTGTATAGGTACAATTGGGAGGTATTTCTCGTGCAACGCATCACACCGCAGCAAAACGCAACGAATGCAGAAGTAACTATGCCACTGCAGGGCAAAAAACGTTGGGGGGTCTATGATCTAATTAAGGCATGAAATTATTGAAAAATATTGGGCCAGGAATGGCAGCAGGACAAGGGTTAAGCTTAAAAGCTAATTTTGTGATTCCCCACGACCCATACACATTCGCTTACATTGGCTTTTGCCAAATGAATTAATCAAACACATTTCTTGATGCCTGATATTAAACAATCATTTATGAGCTATCGTTACGGTATACCCATAGGTTATAAAAAGAAAAGGCGCGGTGACATGTAAAATAGTTCTTTTTCGGTTAGAAATGTTAACAAGATCATCAATAGTTTAGTGTGGCCGGAATAAGGCCACATCGACTTAATTTTATGGATGACATCCTCGAAGACCCCCAAACTTGTGCGCGGGGGCGAATGAAAAAAATTCAGGCCAAAAATAAAAATGCTCCTAAACCACAGGAATACAAAGCTGGTATTGTAAATTTGCGGCAGTACATAGCGACGTACACGACAAGCCGGCACATTCCGGAATTAGCCGATTCGTAAATTCCGCAAAAGTTGAATTTACGAATCGGCACTTTATGTATGTACTGAGTTCTTGAGTCGTGGGGTTTCGGTAGCCTGGGTGCCACCCTCCACGTTACCACCGGCTCCGTATAATCCCTGACTACCATGGCTACCCAGGCCCAGAGCCAGGCAGAGCCTGGAGGACGTGATCTTTTTTTAGAACAGCCGAAAATCAAAGCGCGCGTTGATGTCATCCATAAGATTAAATCGGTGTGGCCTAACTATAACAGCACTGTCTGCAGTAAATCCTACTGACATTATATTTGCGGGGTGGCTGCTTGTGCACGTCACATAACATGCATAGCAACCTTCCTTGTTGATAGGACCAACCCTGCCAACCTTCCTCAATTCACTTCATAAGTACGCCGTTTTTTATGACTGTGATAGCTATTCCTGTTTCAAATTCTGACTTTCTCCTTTAATACAGTCAAACAATGAATCGCTCACAGGCTTTTTGTCAGAAGCATGGTGGCTGTAGATAATTTTTTTCTGTTTTCTGTTTGATTGACTGTTGCTTACAGTCCGTATGGCAATAACATATACAGCAGTCATAAAGGGACATATGTGTAGCAACAGTAAAGCCTAAATTGAGTGAATGTTTCTATCCGTCACACGCAAACGTTTTGAAAATAGGCTTTAGACATGTTTAAAGATATAGTATATGTATATACATTGTATTTATATTAGGTGAAAACACGGCACTACTTGTTTTTGCAAGAAGCAATGTTTTCTGTGCCCCATTTTTTCTTAATAGACAGCTCTAGTCAACTTTGAAAGACCTAGTAAACAAGAGTCATTGCCCAATCATGGACCATAGAAACCAAATGACGGGTATACTGACTACACAAATACAGAAGGAAGGCCTGGTCAACACGGAAAGTTGCTATGGATAATTACCACGATGAATAATGTTATTAAATGGGGACGTGTCCTTAAAAGAGTTTGCAGACATTGTCTTTAAAGATCACAGGTAGGTCATATAGGCAATCGAACTGTTCTAAAATCGTTTTTGTTTTCATTCTGTGGTAAACATTTCTGTCTGGTGTCTCTGCTGGTAATGTCACCTCTAGAAGGAGAGAGCAAGTTCCTGAATGTAGGACTGCGAAGTTTTGACTGAGAGTTCAAGTCGGCGCAGAGCTGGCGATGTTAGTGAGAGTTCTTGCAGAGCTGAGTTATAGGTTGTGTAAGACCCACCTAGGATTATCTTGCATGTCGTTTTCTGGACCCTCTCAATCGTCTCGGATTCTACAAAAGTCATTCTGGACTGCCATGCTAGGAAGGCGTATTTTAGTACTGGGCGAACAAAATCGATGTATACAAGATTATAAGAGTTCAGTACTTGCTTACAGGGTCTTAGCATTGCCCCGGTTACCAACAGTTTCTCGCGTGGGACTCAAGCCGAGAGTTACAAGCCCTAATTCTACAAATCCGAAGACTATACTGGTTTACCTGACTGCATGTAGGCACCACAAATACAAGCCATGTTTCAAAGGCAAAACTGCCAAAGATACAGGTACATGACAATTTGACAAAACAGCGACATCATATAGCAATTATATACAAGCTTGATAGGGTTGATCTGAGAGTTGAACTTAAATGAATAATATTAATTTTTTTCAAACTAAACATTCCAGGTGGAATTTTCTAGATTATGAGGCTTTGTAAGAAGTATTTGGGTCAATCTGTATGGCGTGATTCAGTTTCTTTGAAAGTTATCATAGAAAAATATGTGAATCATTTGAATCAATCTGTTCCTTTTTTGTTTCTAGCTAGTCAGTTTACAGAAGTTAATGCTTAATGTTACAGATTTTAGGGGGTCAATTTACCATGATTCTAACTGTTAAAAATGTCACTTTGGAAGTACCTCTATGTTACCCTTGACCTGAGTAAGAAAACAAGTGGGTTTACAGGAATTAGAAAATTCAGGTAAATAGAGAAACAACAGGTGATAACCTAGTCCGCTGGGGGAAAGTACTCTCACCGAAGTGCCCACTCTGCAAGGGACGGCAGACTTTGCGTCACGTCCTTAACATGTGCCCGGTAGCACTCAAGGACAGGTATACCTGGCGACACAACAGTGTCCTCATGGAACTAGTCAGCACCCTCAAGCTATGGTATGCAGAGTCTAACCCAGAGGTCACAATCAGGTGTGACCTGAACCCAGACTACTTGGAAGGAGGCACACACACTACAATCCCTCCAGACATACTGCCGACTTCGCTGGTACCTGATATCACACTTCAGGATCCTGTACAACGGAAGCTGACCTTGATCGAACTTACCGTTCCGTATGAACAGAATGCACAGCACGCTGAGGACAGACATCTTAAAAGTAGACTGGGAAAGTGCGCACTTTGTGCATCTTATGCCATATACTGCGCTAGAAACACACAGCGTTGGGAAAGTACCTCAGGGCTATTCTCTTGTAAAAGATAAATTTGATGCAACAGGCTTGATTCTTTTCTTTTAATCGTTAAGATCTATAAAACATTTTTGTAAGTATACGTATAAATGAAATGTATGTGTAGAAAACAATTTTAATCGAAAAGTTTAATGTCCGATGCACACAGTTACTTGTTACATTTTACTTACCTTGCGCCCTCCTCTTAATTATAATGAGATAAAGGGCTGGCCTAGGTGTACTTCAACGAGTCATCTTGTATATATTTGTATATTGAAATAAAGATGATTTTAACCCCCCTAAAGAGCAACTAAGACAATGGCCGGATCAAATTATATTTCCAATTCCAAAACAGTAAGTTATGTACATTGAGTGGCCGGCAGTAATATTTTACAACGACACATGTCGTGCGGTAGCGTCCAGACTTAAATATCAAAAACATGTATGATATGTTGGTAGTTTATGGGTGGAACACAAAGTGTACAGGCGTGCATGTGGCAGCAGGTAGCAGCACGTGTGTTTATTAGAAAGATAACCAGTTACTATAAATTTTATTATCCACATCGATAAAGGCAAACGCAGTGTGATCAATTAATATACGTTAATATAATACAGCCGCGGAAAATTACGATTGTATGAAAAAATATCTAAACACAAACTGCAACTCCTCGAGAAACCAAGCACATCTTTGTACACTTGTATATATATAATTGATTTACCAAGAGACATGAATAACAAAGGGATAATCAGTAGCAGACTATAAAACCCTTTTGCCGTGTTTCACGGTGAATGTAATATATTCTCAATACTGAATTTTTACATCAAAGAAGCTCTGTTCAATTTCCATCCCTCTGCTTCCCCCTTTCTTCTTCTCTTCCCAACTCCTCCCTCGTTTCCCTTTTCCTGCCCCCTCCCTCTCTCTCCCTCATCTCTTTCCCTCTGCCCTTCTCTCCATCTTCCACTCTCAATCTCTCCCCATCCCCCCTCTCTTATTCTCTCTTCCCTTCCCTCCCTCTCCTTTGAGGCAGCGACCTCATTTATGGCGGAGACCTCATCGTTGAAGAAATTTATTTCTTACGTATACCTTATTGCATTTAAACTAGGTTCTAACACGAGAAACCATGTTCCGAATTTTAAAGTCACACACAAACTTCGTTTTGGACTTTCGTTGAACGGTCCGTTAAACAGACCCATAAACTACCGTCAGTCTGTATCCTCCAACATCTCCCGACCAGATGATGATGAACATTAAGTAGTCTGCATGTCCGTTTGGTAACATTGAATGATAATAACAGGTACCTTAAACCACCAAACCGTGTATCTAAATTCACGATAAAACATCTCAGATGTCTTACCTGCCGTGAAGACGGTGAGAAGTATCACCACCAGAGCTGGAGCAAGCTTCATGGTGAAGGTATTTCCCAACCCTTGGTAGTTTGGAAGGGGAATGAAAAAAATTGCAGTGCTTTAACAAAAAAATAAGATGTCTAGGCCTGTTGTCCTTCACCGCTAATCTGGCCAGGAGGACATTTGAACAAGAGAAAATTGTCAGCAGGTTTTGTTCAAACAGCCTGTCAGTAAAAGTTGTTTACGAGGGACTCATCTCTCCGCGTTGGGTAAGTTTACAACTCTTATGCAATTTCATTGTACCAATAAAAAATAAGAAACACCGTTGCATTGAATTTAGCTGCCGTCAACAAAGTTCATCAAAATATGCTCATGCATTAGGTGAAACATAATTAACACACCCTATGTCTTTGTGTCCTTTTATCAAACAGGTCCACAGCTTGATGTATGCAGTATTAAATGTACGTGATGTCCCGCGATTTAACTCAGACTTTCAATAGATTACCTCATAACTTACCACTATGCTAATACTCATGTCATTTTAATGTCATTTGGAATGACTCAGGCTCTTTCACCTGTAACAGCCACCGCCATGCACGGCAAATATTTATAAACTCCTTTCACCTGCGGCGATAACAAGAACACGGTTAGCTGCGCAGTCGAAGGTTGGAAAACAAATAATGTCAAGGACGACTTCATTGTGTCCCTTGGCGTATTTCAGCCGAGTATGTACAGTATCCTTCGTAAACGGTTGTCATCAATTATTCCAAACCAACATGAGTTCCCTTACCAAGTCGAAGTTAATTCTATTCTGTTTAATATCTGTTACAGGTGATTCTATTAAAATAGTAAAATGGGTCAGTAAACGTTAACATATTTGCCATTTTTTAAATTAATTTTATAAATGGTTAATTTTCACTTGCGAGAAATGCATTTTAACGCATTAGGGTATACCTAAGAAATGCTTTGTATATTATTTTCTCGTTACGTGTAAATGGTATCATTATGAAGTACTGTATCAAATTGTAACATTTTCTAAAACTGCCAAAATGAATTAGCAGCTGTCTGCAAGAACTTAAGATTTGAGAGGAATTTTCCATTAAGCTAACTCTTTACCGTGAAAAGAAAAACTTACAAATAAACACTTTAGATAAGAAGTCTATCCCGATTTTATGGTGCAAACACAGTTTATCAAAATCACCTTTGCATTGAATATTGCAATCGTCAACACAATTGATTAAATCGGCCCGATATAAAAGAGGCCCGCATATTACACAAACCGTATGGAGGAGGCTAGTTTTATTGAACAGGTTTACAGGCCAAATGTATGCCGAGTATAAAATGTACGTAGTAGGCCTTTGACACCAACATAAATCATAACTCTGACTTAAAAACAGAGTAATAAATAACCCTCTATTCTTCTAATAACCTCTACAAAGAGTCAGGGTTTATCACCTGTAACAGTCGCTGCCTTACACGGCTAATATTTGTTGAGTGAACTCCTTTCACCTGTGGCGATAACAACACTCTGGTTAGCAGCGTCGTGGATGGTTAGGGGAACTATTTTTGACAAGGAAGACCTCCTTGTGACTCTAGCTTATTTCAGCTGAGTAGACGGTGTTCTTCATAAATGGTTTGGTCCCAGCATTCGCGAACGACTACCATGGAGTTGAAGTCGATTCTATCAAATATGATATTTGTTACAGGTGAGTCCATCAAATTGTTATTGTATACAATAAGTGAATGGGTATCCAGGTTAAATGGGCCATGGAGGGTCGACAAATTTCTCCTGTAGCTTTATGTTACGGAATTATTTGCATGTAAAAGTAGCTAGTCATATCACATCCAGAACCGTGCATATCTAGTTCTGGGTCTGAATTGATTAAAAGTGGAGAATCTTAACCATAGATACAGCCATAAACAATTATTCCTCATTGTAGATTTTCCAGCAGCTTGAATAGTGAATTGTGTCCCAACAACCATTATTAAACATTAGCCTGGAGTCCAGCCTTGTTAGCTTTGGTCCGCTCCTCAAGATCTTGAGCAGCGTACCAAAGGTAACAAGGCTGGACTTCAGGCTACATAAACATCCCAGACTGTGTATAGCAATTGAAATAATGGCAAGGACAGTTCAGCATAGTACCAATTGACCCTTTTTAACAGATTCAGATACTATATTTTTCTACTGATTTTCAAATAGCATACCCCAAACATGCAATATGACCCAAATAATCGTATTTAAGTCACATAATCGTGATTTTTTTCATTTAATCTTTACCATTAAACAAACCTTTAAAACACTTTAGAACTCCATTATAATTGGATTTAGTAATCGTTAACACAATTAATAAAATCGGCCCGATAAAAAGGTCTATAGTATACACAAACCGTACTGAGGAGTCAGGCCTTTTTGCGGCCTTTTATTAAACGGGTTTACCGTCCAGTATTTGTCGACTAATACATGCACGTGGTAAGACTTCAATACTGACATATATCATTATTTTGACTTAATAACAGAGTTATAAATAACCTTCTGTCCTCTTTATTACCTCTACATAGACTCGGGGGGTCTATAACACTTAACAGAGCCGCCGCCATACACGGCAAATATTTGTTGAGTAAAGCCCTTTCATCTGCGACGATAACAACACTCTGGTTAGCTGCGTCGTGGATGGTTAGGGGAACTATTTTTGACAAGGAAGACTTCCTTGTGACTCCTGGCGTATTTCAGCTGAGTAGACGGTGTTCTTCATAAATGGTTTGGTCTCAGCATTCGCGAACGACTACCATGGAGTCAAAGTCGATTCTATCAAATATGATATTTGTTACAGGTGAGTCCACCAAATTGTTATTGTATACAATAAGTGAATGGGTATCCAGGGTAAAATGGGCCATGGAGGGTCGACAAATTTCTCCTGTAGCTTTATGTTACGGCAATATTTGCATGCAAAAGTAGCTAGTCATATCACATCCAGAACCGTGCATATCTAGTTCTGTGTCTGAATTGGTTAAAAGTAAAGAATCTTAACCATAGATACAGTCATAAACAATATTCCTCACTGTAGTTTTTCCAGCAGCTTGACGAGTGAATTGTCCCAACAACCATATAAACATTAGCCTGAAATCTAGCCTGTTAGCTTTGGTCCGCTCCTCAAGATCTTGAGCAGCGTACCAAAGCTAACAAGGCTGGACTCCAGGCTACATTAACATCCCAGACAGTGTTACAATTGAAATAATGGCAAGGGCAGTTCAGCATAGTACCAATCGACCCTTTTTAACAGATTCAGGTATTTTTTTCTACTGGTTTTCAAAGTAACATACCCCAAACATGCAATATGACCCAAATAATCTTATTTCTGTATCTATCAGTATAGCCGGTATAACCAACCTTCGGTGTAACACACCAGCTTCGTACACCGAACGACTTGTTACACTCAATCTTTGCACATTTATTTTGCAGGAGTTGTTTAAAGCTTTCTAGTGATCAATGATGCCCCAACTGTGCTTGGTGGCAGCGAGTTCCAGTTTACGATAGTTCTGGGAAAATACGACTTTTTGAACACCTCAATTCTTGGTTGAAAACTCTGATATTTGAAGGCACGAAGGTTTCTTGTTCTTTGCTGAGCGGATATTTAGTGGTTGGTACGTCCACCAGTTTATTAGTCATTTTGTACATCATGCAAATACAAATAATACAAATACAAAATTTGTATTTAAGTCAAATAATCAAGAAATTAATATTAGCTATAACTTTCGAGTACTAAAGAACGAACCTTGTGTTCAAATCAACAACCTTCAAAACTATCCTCTCAAAAGTGTCAAAGTATATAACAAGATAGACATGTTTTCCGGTGTGATAAGACTAACGATTAGGGATAAGATGCAAGGTACCAGTGCAAGGTACCAGTAGATGAGAGTTGTGCATACATTTTTTTCTGGTATTTAAAGAAACCTAAGTCGTACTAGTAAATGACCTGGATACAACATAACGATGATGTAATCATATTTTGTTATTTCTTGTTTTAGTGGTAATATCGGAGGCCTTCGGAGCCGACCCCTGTACGGACTACCAGGAGTTAAACCAGGCCAGACGGAGTTCAGCAGCCGAGGTGGCGGCCGGACACTCTCTCCTGTGTGACAACACGTTATCAGCAGGCTGGTACCGGTTTATCAGTTATGTCGGCGGGGAGATCCCTACAACCTGTGTGGAGCCGTACCACTGTGGAACCCAGGTTCCTATATGGATGGACGGAACCCTACCGACAGACAGTACTGTAGTCAACAGAACGGTTTGTACTAACTACGGTGTACCGGGGGACTGTTGTACTTCCTTATGGAACATACAGGTCAAACGTTGTGTGGATACACAGGGGGTTTTCTACGTCTACGACTTGGTACCGACATTTGGCTGTTCACAGGCCTACTGTGCAGGTAAGGTTATTCCAATATGTCACATATATTGTATTCTTAAGCCACTGAAAATCCTCTCGTGTAACGAAAAAAATTCTCAATACGTACACAGATATCTACATTGATGTAAGTACTTTGTAAACGGCTTTGTACATTGTATATTTCAAGTTACGTGATAATAGTTCTATTTAGCCACTAAACATCCTGTCGTGTAACAGAAAAAGAAATTCTCAATACGTACACAGGTAAGTACTTTGTAAACGACTTTAAACATTATATATTTCTAGCAAGGCCACAACAAGTATATTTTATGAATGACATTAGCGCGCATTAATTTTTGCCTGATTTTGTAAAAAAAAAAAAAACAATAAATTATGTTTGTCTCAAACGGTGGACATGCCGGACGAAATGTTGTAAATGACTATCAGAGTCCGTCAGCGATTCAGCAAACTTGCTCGTGTTTGATGGCAAATGCTGACAGGGACATTCGAAGGTGTTTTATTATGGCATAAAATCGTGGCATAAAATTTTACTCGTTGTCTCCCAACATGTAACAGTATATTATTCAGTCAGCAGAACTAGCCCTTAGTAATAATCTTCATACAGCTACTAGTAAACAAATACTTCAATACTTTTCCAAGCATCTTTATTAGTTCATTGACTCATAATATGAAGTTAATGTCCAATAAAAACATTGCAATCTTTTTTTAGGAACACTTCCTTTATGCCCAGAGGGAGA